AATTCCCCAGCACTGCAAAAAATAAAAATGGCAAAAGTATGTTAACTATGAAATAAAATTCTTTAAAAAATTAATTAATGTAAGCCRGGTATAAATTTTTTAAAATATTTTCAAAAATATAATATGTATATAACTATTTATCCTAATTTTAAAACATCTAAGGTACAATTTTTAAAACCTGAATAAAAAGTAACTCAGGAACAGAACACATTTATTAGTTGTTTTTTTTCTTGTGGGGACAAAGGTACAGAAACTCTCTAAAGTTAAATTGTTACTTGTACTGCATTCCTTCAAGGTAGTACACCAGCTACAATCACAATAATTTGAATTAATTTATTTATTTCACACAACTGTTCTTGGATGGGACAAATGAGCTTTGATTTATTCCCTTTCTAAATGAGTAATTTTTCTTGGATTAAAGTGGTTGGATTGAATATGATGTGTGTGTATGTGTGTGTGTGTGTGTGTGTGTGTGTGTGTGTGTGTGTGTTTAAAAAAGGCAGGAATAAATTCTTGTACAGACATAAGTCCTTGAAGGTGAAGATAATGCCTTACTCAGCTTTGTGGAAACAGTTACAGTTAGCAATTGAATGGGAAAGGAAAATCTTTTCAATAGACGATGCTGGAATAACTGAGTATCTGTTTGGAAAAAATTAATAAACTTCAACTCCAACGTCCCACTAGCCTCAAAAACTATTTTGAGATGGATAATAGTCATAAGTATAATATAAATACTGATTACTAATATAAATGTACAGGTAAAAACTGAATATAAAAGCTAAAACTATAAAGAAAACAGAATATCTTCATCATCTTGAGGTAAGCAAATATTTCTTAGGTGGTACACAGAAAGCACTAACTGTAAAAGATAAAACTAACAAACTAGATGTCACCAAAACTTAAAAGACTTTCTAACCAAATGCTCCATGAAAAAGTGAATAGACAAACCAACCTTAGAGAAAATAGTTATATTCCTTATAACTGAGAAAAGACTTGCCTTCAATAGTAAAGAAAGATAAATAATCCTAAAAAAATTAGACAAAATTCATGAACAGGTATTTCATAAAAGAATATATACAAATAAGCCAGGCACAGTGGTGCACATCTGTAATCCCAGAAACTAAGGAGGCTGAGGGCAGGAGGATTGCTAGTTCAAGGCCAGCCTCAGAAACTGTCACAAAATTAAAAATAAAAAAGGACTGGGGGACTAGGGTTATTTCTCAGTGGTAGTGCACTCGTCTGGCATGTGTGAGGCACTGGGTTCCATCCTCAGCAACACATAAAAATAGATAGATAAATAAATAAATACATTTTWWAAAAAAAGACTAGGGCAGTGGTAAAGTGCCCCTCGGTTCAATACCTAGAAATCCCTAGAAATATATATACTTCTAAACTAAAATCACAATGTGATACTGCTTCCTGAGCAACTTGCTTAGGAATAGTTATAGAATAACTAATRTGAAAAAGACAACATGAAGTATTCAGGAGGATATGGATCAATCAGGCTGTCCTAAGTGCTAATGGGATTGTATAAAGTTATGTAACCTTTTTGGAAACCTGGAAGTTCCTTAAAAGGTAATACCTATAGCTGTTCTATAACCCAGAAATTTCAATCTTAGAGATTTATCCAAAAGAAATGAAAACATGCCACAAAAACCTTTGCACAAGAATGTTAACAGAAGCCTCATTCATAATAGCTCCAAACTAGAAACAGYTCATGTGTCCAACAGGGAGGAAGGCTGAACAATGGATTCATTCACACATTTGAATACGATCCTGCAGTAAGGAACGACTGACAACAACACAGATGAATCTCAGAAACATGCTGCTGGGAGAAAAGAACCCCAGCCCTGGAGTGCATGCTGTATGATTGCATTTCTATGGCATTCTAGAGCAGGCAAAATTAACCCATGGTGATGGAAATCAAAATAGTGACTGAAGTGAGGGGAGATTGACAGGGAAGGAGCTCAGGGGAAATTTTCAAGGGGATAACAATATTCTCTATTATAAAGGTGTGGGTTACACAGGGTAAACATTTACCAGAATTTACCAAATTATACACTTTGATCTTGCTTTTCACTGTATACAAAGTATATCTCAACCTCTTAATTAAAAATTATAGTTTAAAACATAAGAGCAATGTCTGGAGAGGGACTGTGAATTTGGAGCTTGACTCTATGTCCTCACCAGCTGTAAAAAGAGGGTGTTGATAATTAAAGACACCTTGTGGAGCTCTTCTGAGGGCTCAGCAGATGTATGGGAGGAGAGCACCTAGGAAGGTAGAGACTTAACAATTTGAATTTGTCTTCTGCAGTTCTAGCAAAGATCCTAGCGAAGTGCCAGCCATATGGACAGAGAGGGATAAGTGTTGCCTGAAGTAAATTAATGCCATCTTAAAAATTTCTGTGGGAATACTCAGGCTGCCACTGCCCTTCAGGCAAATTCCATCATGAGTAGAAGAAACCCATGTTTACCACTGAAAAATCTGGGCACCAGTAAAAAACACCCAATAAAGTATTTATGCCTTCTCCAAGCGCAGGTTTTTTTCCTTCAAGATAAACGGTGGTAGGCCTTACAGAAGATGCTTGTGTAAATACTGGCTACAACTTAAGAAAGAGACCATGGAAATTTACTTGTATTACAAATCAAAAAAATCAAGTTTAAAAAAGAGTCAAGTGTTCATGGTTCATTTAAATGTTTACTTGCAGGACACTTGTTTATGGTTTTTGTGGATACATGAAAGAACAATTTTACTAAGTTKATATTTTCACTCATGTTGAAGAGAGCAACTGAAAAGCCTGCCCCTGAGGTTTTTTGTTTGTTTTGTTTTTAATTAAATAAATAGATGATTTAATGAGATCCTTTAAGTGATGTGTTTATGAGGACAATAACTTCGGTATTATTACATACCTTGTATTACAGAGGAGTGGGGATGGGGTGGTCCCTGGGACAGGCAGTGTTCACACCTCAGCTTCCCCACCACATGGTGCGTGAACTTGGTCACGTGGCTTACCTGTGTGCCGTTTGTCTTCATTTATAAAATGAGGAGGAAAGGGTACTTCCCATGGTGTTAATAAGGCCAGAAGAACCTACTTATGTTAAATATTAGAACTAGGCCTGCCCTGAGTAGCTCCCTCAAGACCAGCTAATACTATTATTATTGCAAATAGAACCTCCATCTATTAACCATAATAAGGGTAATAAAAAATAAAAGCAGGACATAGCCCACTGGAAATTCCACAGGGCACCTGCAAAGATGTAATTGGTACAGGCAAACAGTAAATTCTAGAAAATCTAGACCAGTTCTTATCACTATATTTCAATAATGCAACTGGAAGACTCACATACTGTGGAAGTGACAAAAAAGCTGAATAGAGTGTCTTTACAAGACACTCCTACCCAGTCTCTTCTGTTATGCTAATCTATAAGCATAACTTCAGAGATTGTGTACTCCATCTTCCAAAGAACTGTCACATAAAATATCTCATTTCATTCTCATCATAGTCATGCAAGCAAAATAGAGTCAGGTTGAAATCCCCATTTTCCAGGTTAAAAAATGAGGCTTTTGTGTAATTCATACACATCAATTAGTCTTCTCTTGAGAGGTGACACTTCTATTCCCTGTGTAACATAGCGAACATGGCTCCGCATATTTCACACAACTTGCTATTTATTATCATGATTATTATCATTATAAAAGTAATACACAGGGCTGGGGTTGTGGCTCAATGGTAGAGCACTTGCATAGCATGTGCGAGGTCCTGGGTTTGATCCTTAGCATCCCATAATAATAAATAAGTAAAATAAAGGTATTGTGTCCATCTACAACTAAAAAAAATTTAAAACTTAATTATATATTTTATTTCAACAAATCTGGAGCATGTGATACTGGTCAGCAAGGCTGCATGGCACACATTTCATATCTTTGTTGACAAGACACTTCACTGACCCAGAAGTTAAATACAACCACTTCTGCAGTTATGAAGACATAAGCTGGGAATTGACAACTTATTAGGTGAAAAGTATAACAAAATTTTGACAAATCAAACTGCTTGATCAAGTCTTCCGGCTTATGTCTCAAACAAAAATATATAAGACTTCATTGCCCAAAAAATACCCATGAGAAAGGCCTTTGTTCATTGTTCTCAATCAGGCTTTCACCACACCAATGAAACAACTGGTGTCTCCACATTTCTGGAAACCATTCTCCATAACTAATTTAAGTACTGGCTCTCTCCCACTCCTAAGAAGCCTGGAGAAGGGTTGAAAAGTTAACAGAGTAGAAGGTTGAATGATCTCCAAGTTTGGAGATCAGTGTGTTCACAAGAGTCAGGGCAGATGGTAGATTATGCCTCTCAACTTGAAGCCCTCTCTGTTTAATGAGGCTCATTCTCCCCATCACTACACACACACCCCCACGCCCCCATACACAATACATCTTGCAGAGGGAAAATAGCTAGATCGAGTTTAGCTGATTGGGAACTATTCTATTAAAACTGTGGAATGGGATAGGAAAACTTAGTGGAATGAAACTGATTTAACTCTCCTATGTATATATATATATATATATATATATGAATATATCATAGTGAATCTCACCATCATGTACATCCACAAGACACTAATTTAAAAAATAATAAATAAATAGCAGAAAGATCAGTAAAGGGAAGGGAATGGGGTGGGAGGAAGGGAGGGAAAGGGGAAATACTAAGGACTGAATTAGAAAAAATTATATTTTATGCTTCTATAATTATCCATAGTATATTCTATTGTCATGTGTAACTAAAAAGAACTAATTTCTAAAAAGTGCAAATAAAGGCTGGTGATGTATCTCAGCAGGAGAGCAAATGTTTTGTATGTATGAGGCCCCAGGGCTCCATCCCCAGTATAACACACACAAATGCAAATACAAAGAAACCAAATCCAGTAGATTCTGGACCACTAAAGGAATGTGTAGCAAGGTATCTATATATGAAAATCCCAGAGACTTATGAGCTCACCAAGAATAATTCTTCTTGGTAAAAGATCTGGGCCTCTAGATGGTGTTGTAGCTAAGTGAGACCAGCTCTCCAGGAAATCGGGTGGCAGTGTGGTTAGTCTGTTGCTTGATAAATCCAAGTAGGTGAGGTTCTTCAGATACCTGACCGCCTCATTTGGCACACTGGTGATTCTGTTATTGTGCAAATCCAGGGTCCTCAGGTGGGGCATGTCCCGCAGAGATACCCAGGGGAAGTTGGCCAGAGAATTCCCGTCCAGGCGCAACTCATGCAGCTGCTTTAGGTTGTAAAAGCTGCTGGGGTCAATGCTGGCCACAGAATTGTAAGCCAGCCAGAGGTACTGGAGCTCCACCAGGTAATAGAAGGCCTCAGCTGGAATTGTGCGGATGACGGTTTTTTCTATGCGAAGTTTTGAGGTATCCACAGGGAGGTTCATAGGGACTTGGTTCATATCCAGGTCATTACATAGCACCAACCTAGTGTCAAAGAGTAATGCAAGATTACAATCAAAGAATGTTGTCCATGTTGTTCCTGTTTTGTAATTTAGTTATGGTTTAGGGCAATATGTGGACCTTTATTATCATTATTCCATGGATAATAGGAAAAGATACTTCGTCTTTTTAGTATATAGTATTTGATTTATACTAATTAGATCTACTGAATCTATTTTCTATATTATTGTATCAACTATGTTACTTATGTCTGTGATGATCAGTTCTTCAGCACTCTGACCAAAATACCTGACTAGATCAACTTAGAAGAGGGAAAGTTTATTTTGCGTTTCAGAGATTTAATCCATGGTGGGCCAACACCTAACTCTGGGCCCAAGGTGAGACAAAACATCATGGTGGAAGGATGTGATAGAGAAGTGCTGCTCCATTCGTGACTGCTGGAAGCAGAGAGAGAAAGCGAAAGGGCCTCAAGGAAGGATGAAACACTTCAGGACCCACCGTCTCCAGCCATGCCCCACCTGCTTGCAATGACCATCCCCTCAGTCCACTCAAACTGGGATGGACTGATTGGGTGACAGCTCTTACGATCTAATCATTTCAGCTCTGCATATTCCTGCATCAACACAGGAGCTTTAAGGGGTCACCTCATAGCCAAACCATAACAATATCTACTTGAGATTATGTTCTTAAATTCATTCTCAGTTTTTTCTACATCATCTTCCACAACTCATTTCTATTGTTTTTCTATTTTTCCTGTACACTTCTTGTATTTTGACTTTATGAATATTGATGTCATGATAATTGGTGCTTAATCATAAATATTACATATTTGTTATTACTTATTTTTTWAAAAATTAATACAAGGAGACCTCAATAATTCCTACTCCAAATGTATCAATTTTTCATTCCCTACTTGGTTTTCACAAAATACATGTTCATTCTGGTAAACCTGTTCATTAACAATGTATTGTCTTCTTCATCTTTACCATTATGACAGCAGTAACTATGATGCTACATCATATGAAATGACCATTTTTGTAGTAAGTAATGATCAAATATCAGCAATTTCATGTGGTCTGACTTTATTTTTAATGGAGTTATTTCCATGCCAGGCCTGTGCAACTCTATTTAACCATCACAACAGCCTGCTCTGGGCTAATCTTGGTTCAGTTCTAAGCTCTGTCATCTCCTCTATGGCCAAGGAAAGCCTCTTCATCAGACCCACAGCCTCATTTTTCCATATGGCACTGTTACAATGATTAATTTAAAGAGATGTAAAGGTGTTGAGGGTATAGTTCAGTTGTAGAGCACTTGCCTAGCATATGCAAAACCTTGGGTTTGATCCCCAGCACTGCAAAAACAAACAAACAAAAAACCAAACAAATAAATAAATAAGATACAAAATTCTACATCTTTCTGGATACAATAAGCACTCAGTAGGTATTTCTTTTCTTTTTTGTTCTTTTCTTGACAGGGTCTCACTAAGTTGCAAAGGCTGGTCTCAAATGTGCCATCGTCCTGCCTTAACTTCCCGAGTTGCTGGGATAATAGGTGTGTACCACCATGCCTGTGAAGTCTGTCTCTTAACCACAGACTCAACTACCTGTCTGTCATCAGCATCTCCAGCCTTGAGCCACACAGAGTGGTCAGCTCACACTTTCTTTGTTGTTCTTTGAGCTCCCTCAATAGATGTTTTCTGCTATTAACGACAATCCAATTTTACATCTAAAATAACAGAGGCCCAACAACATTAGGTGACTTTCCAAGGTCACCCAGCTAGTGGGTTACAGAGCCACCTTCCACACCCACTCTTTCCACCTCCAAAGTGCACGTCTTTAGGAAATGGTCCATGTTAAAAGAATACCCTGTTAAAATCATAAACTGACCCTATTTGAAAGGATTACTTTGTGGGGGGTATCAAGTGTTTACATAACCTGTGAATGGCTTTCCACCTAAGGAATAAACCAGAAACTGAATTATTCCCTTTGGCACTCTCGAACATAAGTGACCTTGAGCAAGTCACATTGTGGTCTTGTTTATTGGCACAAGTAAAACAGGCATAGAAAAACAAGTCTGTCCCATGAGTTTAAAGTAAGAGGAATTTGAGAACCTAGACTCATTTAAGCCTGAAAATAAAGGCCATTTTTCTCCCATCATATATTCATCTGAGTTAATAATAAATAGCTTTGCACAATGTCATCTAAATTATGATATGCTATATATTTAATAAGTCAACAATAAAATGGCCACTTAGTAAAACACGTTAAATCAGTTCATTGTGAAAGCCAGCCCATAACCTAAACAGAGGTAAGAAGAACAAAGCAACAATATCCTGAGCATCCTCTCCCTTCTAAAACCTTAGGAGAATAACTTGTGGAATCATTAGAATTCTCTAGGGATGCCTGTTACTCATCTCTAGTTTATTTTATCACATATTCCAGTGTTGTTTTATTTCACAATAATAGTAGTCCTATCCAATGAGTATTTCAGTGTGCCACAATAGAAAAAAGCCTAGACAGGAACCCACAAGGCCTAGCATCTCAATCAACCACTCTAAATCGGCAACCTAGCACAAGTCCTTTCATCTCTGTCAGTTTAAATTCTGTACTTATAAAATGACAGAGGATCTTAATTAGAATAAGTTGTATTCCATGTATGTACAATACGTCAAAATATACTGTCATGTATATCAAAAAAGAACAAATAAAAAAATAAAATAATAAAATGATAGGGGTTGAACTAGATTACTTGTATATATCTTGCCAAGCATTATTATTATTATTCTGTGCTTTTTGTAAAAGCCACTGGTAATGAGGCCACTTTGGGGAAAGAAACATTTCTATGATAGTTTTATAGATAGTACTCTGGTCTGATCATTAACTATTGCATATACTTGGGCAAATAGGTCTTTAACTTGTGTTCTTTTCATTGTCTTTAACCACCTTGTAAACATCTCAAAAATATACCATGAATTAGTTAAATAAAGCTAATATGTTAACAAGACAAACTACTCACAAATATGGTTTAATTATTATTATTTTTTRGTTAAAATAGTGCTGGTTTTTTCTTTCTTTTTTATAGTTATAGATGGACACAATATCTTTATTTTATTTATTTATTTTTATGTGGTGCTGAGGATCGAACCCAGTGCCTCACACATACAAAGCAAACGTTCTACCTCTAGCCACAACCCCAGCCCCGGTGCTGTTTGTTTGTTTGTTTGTTTTTTTAAATAGATTACTTTGTTTAAGAGACTCACTCACTGCTTATTTCAACCACCAAATCAAAAATAATCTGATTTTATTATTAAATACCATTTCCAAAACCAAAAAAGATCTACTTCATTTAGCTAATAAAGAGTTTTGTTTTGCATTTAACTCATATCTGAAAGTGTTTGTTGTACATAAATTCCTTTTCTTACTGTACAGGTAGATGTTAAAATAACCTTGAGGTTAAATAACTTCAGTGAAATCCTATAATCATTACCTTGCCCATTTCATTAGTCAAAATGAAAAATTCTAATTATGAGCCTCTCTGGCTTCACATTTATGATTATTCTTTCTTTTATCCAGTTGTTGGCATGAAGAATCATCAGAGGAAACAGGGAAAACACCCTGGCAGCCAATGACATGCCCACATCCCACAGGTTTCCCAGGGGAGCCCTGAGCTCTCTACACACACTTAAATGTCTCAACCTCCTGAAAGGGACATTTTATGAATATGAGTGTAGTGAATATTTTTGTAACACATTGTGTTTGGAAATTCCAAATCATGTGAGGCTTTTGAGAGTTACACTGCTCAAAATGAGAATAATAAAGCAGTGGGTGATCAGTATTAACACAATTAAACTAAAGTGTATATAAATTAAACCTTCTCTGATTTCTGAAAATAAATTTGCTTTCAAAATAAGGCTGACTTGTTTGGGCTTTTTTCCTGGAATAATTAGAACCTTTAGTAGCAAGGAGAGGAACATACCTTGAACCTGAATCGTCATCTCTGCCACGAAGATCACAGGTGCACTGAGAAGGACACGAACACCTCACTACTTCCAAAAAGCTGAGCACAATGCACAGATGTGCAAAAAGAMGCATGGCTTCTTCCAGAGGTAATTTGAACAAAAGGTAAAAACTAAATCCTAAACATTCAGAAACTGGTGCCAGGAATGCAAGCCGTCATTTAGCAACAGCAGATTACAAAGGATTAGCTGAGATCTGTAGTTACTTAACCTTCAAGTGTATCTTACAGGGAATCAATAGACCCAGACTTTGAATATGATTTTATTAGCAAAGCTACACATTCTAAGGAGAATAAAAATTAAACCTGCCAGGACAATTTCAATAGTTACCCATATCTAAACTTGCGAGGAAATACCCAAATTAAGTGTCTTTCCTATCAATACAATTGTCAGTACAATTTAACACCATTAATGTTGAAAAAAAAATTCAGTGTTAGGTTGAAGGTATAGCTCAGTGGTACAGTATTTGCCAAGCATGTGCAATGCCCTGAGTTCCACCCCAGCACTAATAATAATAGTAATTCAATGTCTTAGCAAAAGCTAGAATATTCTGTAGCTTATTTACATGTGCATTATAAATATTTTTTTTTGCATTTGCTTTTAACCATCATGTATAACATCGCTTTGCAAAATTTAGTTTTAAAGATAGAAGCGCATGGCATAAAATTGATTTAAAATAGACATCAATGTTTCCACATACTAGTTATCTGCAAAAACAAAGAATAACAAATCTTGGTCATATATTTTTTAGGGAAAGCTCTTCAATCTACCCCTGATGTTTCAGGAATGAGTCTCCAGTGAAAGTGTGTCCTGAGATTCTTCCAGATCATCTCAGTGATCATAAGGTTTATCCCAGCATGTTTATTTTTAATGAAGGCAATAACCTCTGTTCAAGAACATATTTTATTCCAAGCTAGTTTCCCAAGTTTGGGGCATCAAAACCATATTTGAATATCACTCTTCATGTCTTTTAGTAATATTAAACTCTAGCAGAAAATAAAAATCTCATTTAATTTAAAACTCCATCCACATCCACAAAATGAAAAATCTGCAGGGACAATCAAGGATTTAATTTTCATATCACATGGTTCTGTCCATCACCTTTAAAGCAAAAACTTTGAAAAAAATCAGTTATACAAAACAAGAATATTGTAGAAAACATTACTGAAAACTTATATACATATAGGGAAGGAAAAGGAAAAGTTCTGGTGACTAAATTAGAACAAGATATATCCCATGCTTCTATAATTATGCCAAAATGGCTTCTACTCTCATGTATAACTAAAAAGAACTAATTAAAGGACTAGGGTTGTGGCTCAGTGGTAGAGTGCTCACCTAGCATGGGTAAGGCACTGGGGTTTGATCCTCAGCACCACATAAAAATAAATAAAAATAAAAGCATTGTGTCCACCTAAAACTTTATATATATATATATATATATATATATATATATATATATATATATATATATATTTTAAAAAGAATTTACATAGAAATAGTAGAGTCTGAAAACTTTGCTAAATTAAACACTGATTTTCAGATTCCGTACAATTCATTTATTCATCAAATATGACTTCCTCTGTACTAAGCTAAACTAAGTATTAGGGGGCACAAAGATGAGTAAGCACAAAGAACTCACCTGATTAAGAGAGGCAGAGTAACAAAGAAGCACAAAAGATCACCAAACCCAGCCTTTGCAGGTCAGGCAAGACTTCCTATGGTGGGTGGCACCTGAGCTGCCCTTATGTGGTGCACACTGAGATATTATGAGAAAATCAGGAAAGAGGCACTGCAAGTAGAGGTAACAGCAGGAGCAAAATGGGGGAAGCAAGAAACAATATGGTGTCCTCAGAGAACTGCAAGCACTTTCTGTGGCTCAGGCCCAAGATTCTGAAGCAGGAAGTTAAAAATGAGGGAGAAAGATAAAGCTGGAGAGGTAAGACAGGACCCCGATTATGGAGCAAAGGACTTAGATTCCCTCTGAAAGAGCTTACACTCAGCCTATAGGTAAGGCTTGGGAGTGACACATTGGATCATCATTTTAGGTGGAATTTTATGGCCACCGAGTGGAGGAAAGGTTTTGACAGCAAATGAGAAGCGAAAAGGAGGGTTCAGGTGGACAGCTGTGGTAATGTCCAGGTGAGCAACCCTGTGGCTCCAACTTGGACTGCAGTGCCAGTAATGGGACAGAGCAGCTTCAGGAAACCTCAGGAAGACAGCAACGAGTAGGTGTGGCAAGGAGAGGAGGAAGGGATCCAGAGTCAAACCCATAGTGTCCCAGTGCTGGAGACATAGTAATAGGTGGTACCTCAGACTGAGTTTTTGAGGTCCAAAGGAGAAAGAAATGGTGGTAGGTAGAGCTCTAATTACCAAGTGACCACATGGGGCTTTCAAGGACGTTATGACCTACATGGAAGCAAAACATGCCCAATTGAGAATGGAAAATTTGTTTAAATAWAAAACATCAAATTATAAACTTAGAGGCTAAAGGAGCTGTGTAATCAAACCCAGAGCTTCCTCATCTTATATAAGAAAATAAACTGATAGATGTAGTATTAAAATATTATCACATTGTTGAAGTCCTTTATGCTTAAGGCACCATTACTCTTTGCTTATTGCTGGAAATGAATCCAAGGTTTTACAAATTGGAACTCGGAATCAATTTTCTAAACAAATACTGTCWCAGCCACTTAATGGCTCTGTGACTTTGGACACAGAACCTCACTGGGCTTTTTCTATAAATGGCTCAGCTATAGGAAATAAGCAAAGAACTATGGGCACAAAGCATCCTGAGCTCTCTAAGAACATTAGACATTTTAATTTGGCTATTGGAGAAAGACAAAAAGCTAAAAAGTCTCTTCGGGGCCATATTGAAGAGGGTCCTGAAAATCTAGCTGAGAGCTTTATACATGGAAGCCAATAGAAAATGTTTGAGCTGAAGATCTGAGGGATGGAAATTTTTCTTTTGAAAAGATTAGTTATGAAATTAATCTATGGATTGCAGTAGGGAAAGCTGAAGAGTAGGGAGATAAACTATGAGGTTGTTGTTATTTGTCTTTGCTATGCTGGGTATTCAACTCAGGGCTTTGTACCTGCTAGGCTTCACTCTACCACTGAGCAACATCCCCAGCCTTTGTCTAAAATTTTATTTTGAGCCAGGATCTTACTGAATTTCCCAGTCTTGCTGTCCTTGAATTTGCAGTCCTTCTGCCTCAGGTTCCCAAATAGCCTGAGATTACAGTGTGTGCCACCACACCTGCCTCATCTAGCAGACTGTCAAGGAAGTTTACTATTCCATATACATGGAGAATTGTATATATAAAACTAAGTGTATATATAAAACTAAACGTTTTACTTAGTATGCAACCAAGGGAGCTAGACAATTTACAAAAAGAAAAACAAATCAAGATAAGAAAATACAATAAGTAAAGCTACATAGATTCACTAGCACTTAAAGAAAGATGAAATATAATTAAGTTATAGTAGATAACCCATAGTTTAAAAATAAAACAATATAGCACCATCAGTATTTGGTGAAAAATGCAGTTACACACTGTCAATGCAGTGTAAATTAATTCTTTTCCAGACAGTAAGCTAGCCACAGTAATATTATTTTATGTTTGTATCCAATAACTCAAGTCTGGAGAAACACTCAAATAAAAATCATCTCTCAGAGAAAAAAAAAGATATTTGTAATAAAATGTTCCCAATAGTGCATCCATGAAAGTAAAAACTGGAAGCAATTTAGATGGCCATTATTTAAACAATGGTATATTGTGCTATTATTAATATTCATTTAAAATGACAAATTTTACAAATTCATTCAGCATTCAACAAATATTTATTGAGTGCCTACAGAATGGATCTACATGCTAAGAATATATCAAAGAACAAATGTACAAAAACTCCCACTCAGATTGAACTTGATTCTAACAGCAAACATGGAAACACATATGCAGGAAAATGGTAATTAAAAATTGCAAAATACATAACAAAATGAACAGATATCRCATTGCTAGATAAACTATATATTTGCAATGATCAACATGATTTGAATATAAGTTTAATGCTTATTTGATTATTTTTGTTAAACAATGTTGTCAATAATTGATTCTAAGTATTTAAGTTTTAAAATGATAAAATGGTTTCTATTTTAGATTTGAAAGTCCAACCACTCATTTCAGTAATAATTTATTGAGGATTGTAAATTATTATTATTAATTTATTATAATATTAAAACAGTGGCTAATGGAGAACTAAGGCAAGTTGTAAGTCATCAGTCTGGTGTAATGAATGTCATGATAAGAAGAAAGAAAAGCAACAGGATTTTAATCTCATATATCTAGATGCATCAAAGGAGCTGAGAAATGAGTTCACATATAAAAAAATAGAGACACATGCACTATAACCGCCAAGGCACAAACAGAACAATGAGCCAGTCTAACAGGACAATTACTATGTCTGCAGTTGATCCAAATGGGCTTGTATTTAAAATAAAATTGAAGTAGTAAAAAAAAAACCACAACTACAATGCTTTCCCAGTGTGATTTTCTCTTATTTCAGATTCTTCCAGAAGCCCGTGGGCTTTGAGATACATCCATTGGTAAAACGCTTGTCACAGGCATTGCTTGATGAGTCTGACATTTGAACATGGCAAACATAGCCCTCCGAAACCTACAATAAGAAAGGGAAAATCTGGCTTTATTCTACAGGGACCTAGAACTGCTGAAGCATTTTCAAACACGACTAAGGTGGCACTACTATGAATTGACATTTCCAAATATATTTTCTGCCTACGACTTTAGAATCTACTGTTGGGAGTCTTTATAAATGTATAGAGTATATGGTACAAATAAGATCAATTTTGCACTATTCATTGAAGACACTGAATAAAAATTAACAATTATGAATATTTAAAATAACACTTCAAATGTCAAGTGTAATGAGTTGTTTATTTGAACTAAAGATGTGTGTTTCATGTTTGTGAGCAAAGGCCAGTTGAATTGAGGTAGGTGGGGCTTGAGTCGGAGGCTTGAGCTCCAAAAGAACTACCAACAGATTCTGAATTTAAATGTGCTTTTTATTCTTTTGATGTGGTCTGTTTGGTCTTGACTTTTGTATGTTCTTTGACATACCTGCTGCTGCAGCTGTTCTTCCTAGCATGTGCATTAATACATGTTTTAATAGAAGCAGCACTGGATCCAATTACCTGACCTCCACTGAGATTTTCTGGCCAAATATTTAAGCACAGTAGATTGGTCCATCATTCAGCACTAACAGGAAATTAAGAAATTAAAACTTCACTGAGGAGTCAGGAAAGGAACTCCTTGCTGAAAGTCTCAAAAAAAGGGAGGAAGGAAGAATTCACTATTATCCTAGATAACTATCCACTCCCAATGTCCTTTATGTTAATACTGGATATTTCTCTTGCATTTGAAAATGTTTTCTGTCTGGAAAGTATAAAACTATGCTTTCTACTAAAAATAAGGGCCAACATTGCCTGGTCTATTTTCTGGTACTAGAATCGTTCTTTCCTTTGGAGACCACTATTCCATGTATTTCGAGGGTTAACCACCCCAAACCAAGTTGACCAATGACCAACTAGGGAATTTTCTGCCAGGAATCTCTGGGATAAAGCTTGCCTTGGAGGATACCTAACTGGTAGAATTTGAGTCTTACATTGCCAAGATCATCTCTGCCACCAAGTGGGAAGAGTCTGTCACAAAACTCTGGGCATTTAAGGTCATAGATGCTGCTCTGGTTGCATAAGCCAAATAACCTTACACTAGATTTTGTCAACTCTTGAAAAGTTTTAGAATATTATCAACTGCCTTTTTTTGTTTCCTGGTACTAGAGATTGAATCTAGGGGCAGTCTACAACTGAGCTACATCTCCTGCCCCCTTTTTAAATTTTATTTTGAGATAGGATCTCTCTAGTTTCATAGGCTGGCCTTGAACTTGCAGTCCTCTGGCCAGAGCCTCCCGAGAGTCTGGGATTACAGACGTGGTCACCATGCTTGGCTTCCCTACTACCTTTTAAGCATTATTTTTGTGTCAATTTTCTTTTATTCAGAAACAATTTAGAGCTAACTTACCTTTTATTAGCAGCCACATAAATACAAGGGTTGTAGAATGTAGATGATTTTGCAAACAGTGGAGCTATGATGGCCATTGAAGGAGGAATCTTCTTTGGGTTACCAAAAGAAGCCCATAAGCACACAATTGAATAAGGAGACCATGCCACCAGAAACATCAATATCATTATTACAGACATCTGAAAAAGAAATAGGTATTTGCTAAACGAAACATCTAAAATATTTAAATAGTTAATATATCTAAAATAGCATAAAAATCTACCTGTTGGAATTGAATAAGTTTATGTTGTTGATGACAAAGGAAATAGCTGTTCTTAACAAAGGTGTTCTTAACAAAGGTGTCTGAAGTCATCTATGATAACTAGAGCCTGAAAAATTGGTATGTTCATCAATATATGGCACTGCCTTTAAGAATGGTACAGGCATGTGAAGGATGCCCTCTTTCTTATGATGTGCTCAGGAGAATACAAAAGATGGCTTTGATGAAAGATGAAAACCCACTCCAACATACTTCAGGTAATTGTGCTATGAACTCCTGACATTACTTTTTCTTCTTCTCTTTTTCTCTCTCCTTCCTTTCTTCCTTCCCTCCCTGCTATTAGTTTGGATCTGGAATGTCCCCAAAGGCTTATGTGTTGGAGGCTTGGTTCCCAGCTGGTAGCACTATTGTGAGGTGGTAGAAAACTTTTAGAGTGTAGGGCCTAACTGGAAGAGGTATGTCACTGGGGTGTGCCCTTGAATGGGTATATTTTGTCCCTGGACCCTTCCCCTCTCTCTCTCTGTTTTGTTTTCTGGCTACTGAGAGGTGATCAGCTCTGCTCACCACATGTTCCCTGCCATGATGTTCTGCCTCACCACAAACCCACAACAATGAGGTCAAGTGACTAGGGCCTCACACCTTGGAAAACATGAGCCAAAATAAATCTTTTTTTTCCTTTATGTTGAGTTTTTTTCAGACATCTGTCACAGCAACAGAAGGCTGATGAAAACACTTCCTCACTGTGCTTATCAGCTAATCAAAAARAAAGAAAGAAAGAAAGAAACTTTGTAAACTAAATCTGGAAATTAAAAAAATAAAGTCCTATCTTGAATTTAGTGGATTTTACCATAGGTCATTTGAGTTGAATATATTTTACATACAGTACAGAAATTTTTGTAAAGAAGCTCCTTTGCATTTTGTTTAAATTAAAAACATATAATTTTTACATTGCTCCCTCCTGATTGCCTACTACAATAAAGAAACAGATTTTAAAAGACATAAAAACTTGTCAGGACACAAAATCAGAGATTAGATAATTGTTTGTTTGTTTGTTTGTTTGTTTTAACGGAAACAATAACTGTTGGACAAGTGGCAGATTACTTACCAGGCATGAAAATGATTAAAAAATAGGAAGAAAAAAAATTTTTTAATAGTAATGAGAGAAGCCCAAAACAGACTAATCCATTCTACAGAACTATAGAAGTCTAGTATTCTAAGGTACCAAAAAGCTCTGAATGTAGGGGTGCACATGGAACTCAAAACAGGAGAACTGGGGGGGAGCTGAGGTTGTGCCTCAGTGGTAGAGCACTTGCCTCGCACGCATGAGGCACTGGGTTTGATCCTCAGCACCACATAAAAATAAATAAAATAAAGATATTGTGTCCTTCTACAAATATATATATATATATATATAAACAGGAGAATTGGTTGAAATTTGCAAAAAGAAGCAGTTAGACTCCTAGATCTCCTTTGCAGGTCCATTCAGTCTACTCAGTAACTGTCTCTTCCTCTCCCTACAAGAACTCTAGAGGCTCAGCATAAAAATGGCTAATGCAGGAAAGATCAGGATTCAGGGAGCCCAGCAAAGCACTGCAGTACTGTACTAAAAAGAGGGTTTTTGTTTGTTTGTTTTTGCATGTTGCCTTCTCCCAGCACTGGGCTTGAGAGTTCTGACAGACATGAACCTTCTACTCAGGAACGTGAAAAAATCGTCTCTTTGGAGACTGACCAGCCCAGTATGAAAAACTTGGAGGTACAGTCAGAAATCCCCTTTAATGAGCACCTCTGAGCTTACTATCACATTTTTAGTGCACCACTGGCCAGTACTGATCACCAGACAATGAGAAACTCTCACACAGGCAGAGAAAAACAGCACAGCAATGTAGTGTACCACAAAAATATGTAGTGACCAGAAGAAAAGCGTAAATATATACAGAATGCATCATAGAATAAGAGATATACCTAGACAACAAGAGGAGGTTATTAAAAGAGGACAGTATACAAAATAATTATTTTTATCTAGAAAAAGATTGTTTTATGCTATCTATAAAGGTGAGAGTAGAAACATAAAAAATGTCATAAGAAGGTTGAATAATATTGCCAGCTTCGATTTAAAGAAAGGTGGGAGAAGTAGTTTCTATAAGTACAGGTCAGCTATTTATTTAAAATTTTATATTTTGTTCAACATAATTTTTTTTATGGTTCATCTTTTCCAGTTTTCGAATTTTGTTTTTTTAAAGTTTTTTTCATTTTGTTTTTTCCCCCACATTTTTATTGTTGCATTACAGTTGATATGATGGTAGGATTTGTTATTACATATTCATATATGCACACAATATAATTGGGTCAATATCATTCTCAGCACTCCCCCCTCCCTCCCCACCTCTCAACCCCAAGATCCTTGTCCTTTACTGATCTCTCTTGAATTTTCATGAGATCCCCTCCAAGCCTTTCTTTTCCTTTTGCCTCTTTAGCTTTCACATATGAGAAAAAAACATATGGCCATTTTTTGGCTTATTTCACTTCACATAATGGTCTTTAGTTCCATTGATTTTCCTGCAAATGACAAAATTTAGTTTTTCTTYATGGCTGAATAAAATTCCATTGTGTATATATACACATTTTCTTTATCCATTCATTTGTTGATGAACACCTAGATTGGTTCTGTAGTTTGGCTATTGTGAATTGTTCAATATAATTTTTACACTAATTTTGATTTTTTAAATTATTGTATTACACTATTTTTTTATATGATTTATTTATTTATTTGATGGGAATTAAACCCAGGGGCACTTTACCACTGAGCTACCTCCCTAGCCCTTTTTATTTTTTGAAATAGGATCTCACTACGTTGCTGAGATTGGCCTCAAATTTATGATCCTCCTTCCTCAGCCTCCTGAGTTGCTGGGATTACAGGTGCACCCCCACACCCAGCACAAGCATTTTTTATTATTATTGAGTATTTTGGTGCACCTTTAAATTTTGCACTTAAAACTTGGGCTTCATTATTCTCACCCTCATCACAGATCTGAATACGGTTGAGGAAATCTTCAGAAACTAGAAACAGACACAAATGACAGCTTTAAAACAAACAAAACAGAGACAATCTAGCAAAAAAAAATTTAAGAAAATCAGAAGATAATTCCAGAAAATTAAATATCTGAATAAATGGATTTCTAGGAAAAGAGAATAAAGAAAAGAGAGAGGCAGGAATACCAAAAAATAATACAAGCAAGCTCCCAAGAGAGGCAGAGTTAAGTCTCCAAATGAAAGTACTCATCAGGTACACGGTTCTGCATGAGTAAAGACCACACCAAGGCACATCAGTATGAAATTCAGAAAACAAGATTCAAAGAGAAGAGCCTATGTGCTTTCAGAGAGAACTCACAGATCACTACAAAGAATCAGTCACCAGCATGCCAGTGGTCTTTGCAATAGCAATACAGAAAGCTAGGCAACTCCATAGAGCAAGACCCYCAAAATTCTTTGATTGATATTTTTGCACCTAGAATTCCAGAACAAGCAAATATAATCCAATACAATAATAGTATAAGACATTTTCAGTTATGCAAAGTTTTATAATTTTTACCTCCCTTGAAACTTCAGCAATCTACTGAAGAATAGGCTCCATCAAAATAAATAACACCACAAAGACAAGCAATCCCCAAAACAGGCCATCTAACCCTGGAAAGGAGAAAAAGGCAGTCCCAGGTGGTGAGGAAGAGAGAGCGAAAGATGAAGGCTTCCTGAGCATCGGTCTTTTTTTTTTTTTTTTAAGAGAGAGAGAGAGTATTTTTTAAATATTTATTTATTAGTTTTCGGTGGACACAACATCTTTATTTTTATTTATATGTGGTGCTGAGGATTTTATTTTTATGTAGCCCTGAGCACGCCAGGCAAGCACACTACTGCTTGAGCCACATCCCCAGCCCCTGAGCAGCAATCTTAGAGAGCAACCACCCCTGAAAAGAGCAAGAGGCTCAAGGGAACCAGGAAGGATGCCTCYAGGAAGACGATGAAGTGAATCTAGTCTGTAATGTGTGTGAACACACTGAGAGGAGGGAGAAAGCCTTTCAATCCCACCAAACATTGCTAACATACTGAGAGATAAGGAAAGAGAAAGGTGGAAGGGAGGTGTGGAGCGGGCTGGTAGCTTAAGAGAAATAAATCCTTTTCGTCCATAATAGGAATTCCAATGATGATAACCAACCGAAATATCCAAAGAGCCAATGAGCATATCATTTGGGAATATAAAGAAAAAAAAGACCTGGGGAGTGAAATGGGAGGTGGGGGGAAGGAGACTGGGGCAAGTCATGAGACTCAATTTCAACTATGTGTTTGTAAAAGTGTGATTACAAAACAACTTTTTAAGAATGTTGACATCTTACCTTTGTTACATCTACTTGGTCTGACCAGTCTCTGTTTAGGTATGCAGTGCAGTTACTAGCAGCATGGTGTTTAATGGATCGAGTGACGTGGTAGTAGCAATAAAACATCACTGTCAAGGGCACAATAAAATTTACTGCAATCACTGTCATCGTGTAAGACACAAAAGATCTGGAAATAGGAAAAGACAATGACAACTCACTTAATATCCTAAATGGGAGAAGGGGGAAAAGAGATAACTTATTAGAAATAATAGTGACAGTCATCTTATTGTTAAAAAGTTTAGGAATTATATTTGACTTTCAGTTCACTTAGACCAGGAGTTGGCAAGTTATGGCCTGTGGGTCATTCCAGCTGTTCAACTATCTTTGTACATAAAGTTTTACTGGATCCAGCCATGTACATTCATTTACATACTGTCTACGACTTAACAGTGTRTAACAGTTAAATAGTTAAAACAGAAACAATCTGGCCTATAAAGCTGAAATAGTTGTTTTTTTGTTTTTGTTTTTACTCTTTTCAGAAAAAGTTGTAGATGGAGATTTAGAAATTTTCTATTTGTTTTTTAGAGTCATCTTTCATTTCTCTCAATGAACTAAATTATCCTTGTTACCCTGGAAAATATGGAGGAGCATCACCGACTCTWAGGCCCTTGTAGTGACTGCACTTTTGCTACAAAGCTCTCAGAATGTGCCTGATCACCAGATCAACTTGGAAAGACAGCAGGAGGCAGCTTGGGCTTTTGCCAGAGGTGCCTGCTCTAGAGCTTCATTAACACTTTGCTCACAATCCTAACTCTGAGATGAGAAACACTGGCAGGGTGATTAGTCTCCCTATGGATGCCTTAGAAAAGGACAGAATAAGGAAGAAAAGGACAGATTGGGGTGCAAGGAGACCAGGTAAATTTAACTTTCAAAGAAACATAATTCATCCTTCTATTTTTACTCCGGCTTGGATCATATCATCATTACCAAAGAAGCACTTTGCCACACTCTGTATGAGAAAAGTGATCTGACCTTAAATCTGGAACTTATTTATTTTTATTGCAGTGGTAGGAAGCRAACCCAGTACTTCCCTCATTCATGCTAGCCAAGCACTCTACCACYGAGCCACATCCCCAGCCCAGTATGAGCTTAAATTTGAAGGGTGAGAAAATGTGTACAAAGCGTTTGATTATAAAGTGTAGACTTGTTTCTTACGTATCATTTTTCCTCCAATTTATGGTACAGGTAGCCCCAGTAGGATCTGGGGCATAACCGGCCCACCCTGTGATGGGCATCATAGCCCAGAACAGGCCATTGATCCAGGCCCCCAGAATCATGCTGACATAAGTGGTGGTGGTCATTCTTCTCCCTATCAATAAGCATAAGAAAGGTTAGCATCATGTGCAATGATGGGATTCACTTTATTTTCAAATTTTATCTTGATTTTATCAAGTTTATCAAGATTTTTTACAGAGCACTTTAGGTCACTCAAAGCTTGTTCACATGACTCACATTCTGTGAAACATCACAGATTAGCTGAAACCTGAACAATAAAAAGGATCAGCCAGAGGATGAGCAAGAAGAGCTTTTCAAGCCAAGGAAAACAGCATATACAAAGACCTCAGGGAGAAAAAGGGCCTGGCCAGTATCCCAGAATGAGAGTGGCCCTGGCCACAGCTGGAAAGGTAGCTGGGTCAGACCAGGCTGTCTTAGCAAATTTGGCTTTTACTTTAAATGTAATAGGAAGACACTGAAACTTGAACACCAGAGAAACAAGAATGACCCTGATTACAACCACTACGTTTATATGTTAAAGGGAACGTACGTTGAGTGAACATTAGGTAATAAATGGCTTCACTGAGAAAGCAGAGGAAAGACTATGACATACCCACATCCGGGCGACAGATGGTCAGGTATCTATCCACGGCCACCACTGTGAGCAATCCAATGCTTGCCATTCCAAAAAAGATATTCAATCCAGCATAAATCTAAAAATCAAAATGGGAAAGAATCCACCATTCTAACACCCATCCAAGAAACATTTAGATTTTTGCCTCATTCTTAGAACATACTTAAAATATATTAAAGCTTTTTCATTTACTATTTTAAAGTACATCTTCTGTTATCCAATTGTAACTACTTTAATAAAAGCAGTTATGAAAAGTGTTTGAGATTTCATTATTTCTTTTTTCATTTTAAGACTTAAGGTGCAACATTTACACAACATATTCTATAAACAAAGTGAAAAGCAAGCCATTAATTAGGGTAAAATGCATATAAATCAACAAAAGCTTAGCATTCAAAAGGGTGCAACAGGGGTGAAAGGTAAATTCAATGGAAAAATGGCCAAATGATGAGTGGGCTACTCAAAGAAGCTGATTTACATTTGAATATTGATGATATAAGATAGTTTATGCAAAAAACACAAATTATAAATTCACATACACAAAAATGATGAAAATTTAAAAGCCTAAMAATCCCAAGAGTTGAGGAGAGTGTGGAGTAAGAGAACTTCTTTTGCCTGGAATGACCATTTTGCAGAGCAATCTGGCCACATCTAATAAAATTGAAGGTATTCCTACAATCTAACCCTTCTTTCCCCAGACAGGGTGTCTAGAGACACTCTCACATGTTGCAGTTGGGAACATGTATAAGAATGTTTTTTGAAGCTTTGTTTATGAAAGGAAAACATTGAGAGCAAATGCTTAGTAGCAGGAAAATGAGAAAGCACATTGGGCTATGTTCATATGATGGAATATTATACAGCAGTTAAAATAAGTGACTTATAGACACATTCATCAACATGGATAATCTCAAAAACATAACAGTAATTAAAGAAAATTGCATAATGCCAACAATATGATATCATTTACACAAAAGTTAAACCATTTGGACAATATCTGTTTATGTATACAAAAATATAGAGTAAGAAATATGCTCCTGGGAGGGAAAGGAATAAGATTGGGGATGGAATGCAGTGGCCTTCAACAATATCTCTGAAGTTTTATATCATCAAAAAGAATAACAACTATAAACACAGATCGAAAACCACTAATATTTGACAAAACTAGTTGGTACATTTATGGCGTCTAGTATTCTATAATTTATGACTTGCAAAAAATAGGACATATGTCATATTTTTCTATTAACCTAATGCAAATTAATATTGGTTCATTTCCTTGTCAGTAAAATTACAGTAAATAAACAATTCTTTCAGAGGATTTTTTATAGGAAAAAAATATCAACATGACAGTGTAACTTGTCACCAAATATTTTGTTTCAAATGAAAGTAGAATATTTCCTTTTGAATTTGCAAGTTGTAAATTTTTATTTGAATATGCAGATTATGACTCCTTTTCCAGTAGAATATTAGTTGCCTCATTAGTTTTCCACTTTGAGTTGGGAGAATTTTTAATATATAATGGTGATGAGTGATTTTATTTCTCCTCTTAAAGAACATATCTTCAGTCACTTCTGAAGCTTGTTTTCCATAAAAGTACCATATCTATTATCCTGCAATTTCTTATTTGATTTAAATTCTTGGGATTTTCAAAAGACATTTAAATTTACATCTCTTTAATCTACTTTATTTTGCTTTTATTCTAAAGATCTCCAAATACCTGACAGCCTGTATATCCAAATTTCCAACTTCCATACAGATCGGAAGCAGCAGACATGGGATAGCCAATACTACTGACCCCTATATCAGTGAAAGCCAGGTTAATAATGATTGCATTCGTAGGTGTCCGAAGTTCCTTGTACTTAATGAAGATGCCCAGAACTATTAGGTTGCTGAGAATACTTATCACACCTGAGAACACAAAAATGTCATGTACTTTTTAATTTGAATGTTTAAAATAAAATCAATAATATATAAGCTTTTCAAAAAACATAATAAATTCATTTTAGTCATTGAGTTCTTAATGTTCTTAAAATTGTCACATATTCACAGCCCTGCTGAGAAAAAAAATAAGGAAGTGAAAATAAAGAATCTGCTGATTGCATAAGCCAACACTGAAGGTTGGTTTATTTTTTTTTCTTTTTGTAGCAGGGATTAAACCCAGGGGCACTCTACCACTGAGCCATATCCCCAGTATTTTTTGTATTTTATTTAGAGTCAGGGTTCACTGAATTGCTTAGGGCCTTGCTAAATTGCTGAGGCTGGCTTTGGACTCAGGATCCTCCTATCTCAGCCTCCCTACAGGCATGTGCAATCGTACCTGGCTGAATTTGGYTTTAATACCACCACTCTTGATCACACTGCCCTTGAAACTCTCCCTTTGGCTTTCATGACGCCATCCCTGATTTTTAGGATGCAGATAGACTTACCACCTCCTTGCTTTTGGCAGTGTAACTTCCTCTCCTTTCCTGAAGTTCTTCTTTCTGAAGCCTAGACTATCATTCTATTCTAACCACACTTTTGTCACTGTTTTCAGCCCTGACACATGCTTGTTTCCACATTTTCTTTTTATTTAACTCGTTGACATTAAACACTTATTAAACATCTACCATGGGTAAGTCATGTGACTTTTTCAAATGTCTTGAAACCCAGCGTGTCCAAATCTGAATTCTTCATCACACACACACATACCTATAGACTAATGCACACTGCAAGACTTAACTGTCTGGAMAGCAAGTGGAGTCAACTTTTTGATCCATTGGAATCACAGGTGAAATCACTCTAGCCAGGATTCCACAATCTAAGATACGAGTCTCAGCCTTGCAGTCTAGAACTCATATGTTTTCAGTACCCCAAAATCAACTGAACTGAGGTAGATTGATGACCAAACTTACTGATCAGAGAGCTGATGCATTCTACAATGAGATATTGTTGGATAGACTGGATGTRCATGTTAACCTGATCAGCAACACCCATATATGCTGCAAGGAATGTATGAGTTTTCCATAAGCACAGGTATGCTGCCCTGGGATATAACAGTGGAGGAGGAGCAAGAGCAGATTTCAGTGGAGAGGAGAAGTTAGAACCATTACCCGACTCTTGGCAACTAAAGGAGGGTTATGCAACAAACAGGAAGAGTTTTTTCCCATGAAGGAAATTACTTGGTAAGCAATCCACAGCTATAACAAGAGCCAGGGAAGGTTCCAAGCACCAACACACAAAAGGATCAGCTAAGTAGGAATTCCAAGTGTATCTTGGCACTGCAGTCAAAACTTCCATCTTCAGTATTATACTCATCTTCCAGATTCCTTTTCTTTTTTTTTGTTCCATGGTGCTGTCAGARTATGCTTGCTATCATGTCTCTTCTTCTCCTCAAAACTTCCAATAATTCCCACTGCCTGTGGGATAAAAATTCAAACTCCCCAGCCTGATCTGACTCTTCGCTAAGGTCTGTTAYTATCTCTTAAGTTCCCCACTTGTCAAACAAGCCCTCCATTTTAATTATTTATCAAATATGTCATGTTTGTTGAAAATCCTGATTCATACCGTCCCCACTTGAAACACCCTGCTCCTTGCTTTCCCATTTCCAAATGCTAACATCCTTCCAATTTCAGATCAAGTCCAATTCTGCCCTAAAGCTGCTTTCTACCCACAGTACTGTTGTATGTGCTTCCTCCTCAAATCCCCAAAGTACTTATACTTAATCCCAATGTTATATTATCTCTTATGTATTCTGTCTTCTCATGAAGTTATCAGGCCCTTTATGAATTCTATATTCTTTGACTATGTGACATGTAGCAAAGCTATTTAATAAATGGACCACAACTAATAAATTAAGTTTGATTTCAATTATTCCTTTAATTAAGCTTAATTTCTATTGTTCCTTCAAGCTTAATTAACACAAAGTAAATTCAATAACTCTTTGGCCTCATTTTTAGCATCTACTACTGTATCATGCATATAAGAAATACTGAAAAAAATACTGAAATACTGAAAAAAAAACAGTGAATCTTTCTGGGCTACCTACAAATCTGATGATTTTAAACATCAGATAGTGTAGTAAATTGCTGCCTAACAAGTACACAATCAAAATAAAGTACCTATATTTTGGGGATAGTCTTAGATATAATGGGTGTATTACATAAACAATTTGGCCTTCTATCTGTTCTTTCTATAGCTGTCTTAAGCACTGTTTTTATTTTCCTAATTGGGAGTATTTTCTAATAAGTAGGCAGCTGATCACTTCAATTAGGTCTTGTTAGGGTCCATTTCTCAGTCAGTCTACACTGTAAGCAGCAGTGTAGACTGAGATTGATCATCCTTCCCTCTTGAAACATCCACTTTGGTTTCTGTGGCTTCCCTCCAATCTTACTGGCAGGGCCTTCTTAATCTACTTCCTTTTTTCAGCTCTACCTTATTAAATATGTGTGTACTGTCCAACTTTCTGTCCTAAACTCCTTTCTTTTCTCATTCTACACATTCTGCTGAGTGATTTCTATCCAATATCATCAGTCTCATGCAACTCAAGCTTTTAACTGCATATCTAACTGAACCCAGGTGTCTCCTCCTGCCCCAAACCTAGGAGACATCAGCTCCTGCTCTTTCTTTCCCAGTCCCCACATCTAATCAATTCCAGCTTGAGTAGTCTACTTCCTTCTGCCATTAGTAACTCTTCAGAAGCACTGCAGTGGTCTCCTACATGGTCTCTTAGCTACCACTGTAGCACATTTCTGAAAGGCAAATCAGATCACGTAATTCCTGTTTAAAACCCTTCAGTGGCACCCTGTCTCCTCAGTTTACATTCCTTCAYTGCCCAGTACACACAGCCTCTCTTTCACCTTTCATTTTACAAATCACCCATAGTAATTTCAGATCCTTAAATTTACCACACCCTTAACTGGGGGAGAGTGTTCCAAGTAAATAAACAGAACATTGATAGCAGTGAAAACTGGTAAGTTTATAGGACCAAAAATCTAACTGAAAGATTAAAGTTAAATCTAAAGTTAAAACAAACAAACAAAAAAAAAAAAAGCCTTGGCTCTTGGTAAAAGTAACAAATGTTTTGTACCATTTTCCTCATATTTCTGATTTTGATTTAGGAGTTTAAGTGGGCTTTGTTAAAGGAAGAAAATCAGGAATCTAAAGAACAATATATGCTTGATACAGGGGAAGAACAAAATCTATTTGTAGAGATTAAATATGCTCCCTTCAGTTCATCTACCAAAAACTTAACAACATATACTCATGGTAGTCCTTAACCAAAATGACCCTCGTAGTTGTATTTCCATGTAATTCCAATAATGAGATTGTCTTTTTGCAGAAGCAGCAGCAGCAAAAAATTTAAATATATATATATATATATATATTTCCAGGATTTCACACACTAAAAGTATCCAAATTAATGAATTAACATTCCTGAAATTACTAAAAGTAACTAAGAAACTTGCAATTTTTAACACAAGAAATTGGAACTCTAATTATGAATTAGAAGGGAAAACTAAACAATTATAAACTAGACAGGAATATTTGTTATGCTTTTCATTCTACTTTGGAACATGCTTGAATTTTTCATAAGTCAATTCAAAAAATAATGAACAGTTACTTCTAAAACTTGCCACTAAAGTTGGAAATTGGTCAGTATGTTACATCACAATATATAAAAAAGCCAATATTTAAAAGATAATCAAAGAATTTGCACTGTTATCTTCCCCAACGCTTTGTCTGCAAACAWGCCATTATATTAATCCAGTATTTGTATCAATAAGTGTGTACATGGAAAGAAATTGTTGTCCCCTCCTAGTGTGTCATTTAGGTTCACTTATATGTCGTTTTTTACTCTTCACGATAACCATAGTAATTTATTCTTGTCTTCACTTTACAGATAAGAAAATGGAAGAGCAAAAAGTGAAGGAACATGGTCTTGGTTTCATATACTAAAAGATGAATCCAAAGCTCAAGAGTTTTCCAGTACAGCATTCTGGAAGGAGTTGAATGTTCAAACTTTGTCCTCAACGACAATACTACCTTCTATTCTTTTCAAGACTTTTTCTTCCAGAATCTTTATATCTTTAGCTAGATTACACTTCCAAGAAAACTGTCTAGGAATAGTAAATGATATAAGAATACATTTTTGTCACAGCACACACTCTTCCCCATAAGCTTAATTTGACACTGCAATAACCACATTTAATGGTTGACCTTCATTTAAAAACTATTTTACAGAAAATTTTTCAAAGCCCCACTTCACCGTCTCACATTATTTATCAAATTATCCTGGGGCATTTACTTATATCCTCATCTTTGATCCTTACAGCCCAGAAACAGAGGATAATACTCATAAGCAAGCCAATTCTATCGCCTTGTTTTGAAAACTGTACTTTGCTTCCACCCATTGAAAGCAAGGTTAATGGAGAAAATATCCATACCTGCCAGAATCAAGTAAGTTGCAACAATGTTGTGTTCAGTCTGCGAAAAGACAGAGCCATCTTCATTTTTTAAGTCTGAACTGTTATCTAAATTATTCTTTAGCATTTTTAGAAGGAAGAYATTGAGACAGCCTTCATAATAAGCCTTCAATAATTATGAACTGTTTCAAGGGTCCAGGAGGAAAGATTTTTCAGGACCAATCATTTCCAGTGAGAGACCTCAAAGAAGGACCTTTTCATAGAGGTCTTCCCTTAACAAGTATAATTGGGCTAAAGAGGAAGGGATTTTAATTCCCAGAGCAAGGGAAAAGCTTATTAGCAAAACAAAGAAATACCAAGTACCACACATTTTAACCAATTTTGGCATCAGTCTTATATTTAAGCAGATTATCAAGCACACACATCCTATTTCAATAATAAACTCAGAAAATCAGTGCAGGAGCTGACTTAACTTTTTTGTCTGAAATCTACAAGCCAGATTTAGTCCTCTGTAACTGCTCAGATTAAGGATCCTGTTTTCTTGTTGACCCTTTGAGATTTTCCATCTCAGTTTCCTGTTTTCCTTAACAATTTAAATAATCAGAGATAAAAAGTAATCTCCCCTCATACTTCCAAATCTCACTCCCCTAAATTTAGGTATCAATATTGTTTGGTGTGCATTCATTCTTAAGTTTTTCTTTGCTTATATAAACATGTTTATATAAAAGAGTCTGAGGTTTCTCACATTTTTCCCCTTTTAAACAAAAATGTGATCTATGTATATAAATATATAAACATTATGTATATATATGAACACAAACATCATATATATATATATATATATATATATATATAATGTAATTTGTTTCCATAAATGCCACATAATAAGTTCAAGGTAATAAACTTATTAATAGATACATATTCATAGGATGGATCTACTCCACCATCTACCTCTGTTTAATTACCCACTTTGATATGCACAAGAGTAATCAACAGTATCTGGATTCAGTCATTCATTTTGTAAAGGTTAATTCTAATATTCTGGATTACCATGTTATAATCTGAAAWACAAGTTGCAATATGAACATGTACTGCTAAACAAGACAAGGTATCAGTACTTTTTTTGTATTTTAACCACTACAACATTAAAATCTGATTCTTCTTAATAGTGAACTTCAATCAAGAGAAATGCTTAGATACACCAAAATTAATAGTGTAAGCATGTAACAGAACCACTAGAGGGCTATATTTGTCCATTTACTTACTTTAATTCAATGATTGGCATAATCTTCTCACCTCAGTTCTCACATGAATATAAACAGAAGAACACAGGTTGATTAATCTGTTCCCATTGATTTAGCTACTAGTACTCAAATTCTTATAAATGTAAAGTAATACTCTGCAGAGTACCTATAATAGAAAAATTATCTTCAGTATTCCAAAATACCAAAATATTTTCAAATAACACTAAAAAGTAAACAGTACTATGAAGAACTCTGTTAAAAGCCTGTGGTTATTGGATTTTAAGGTTGTTTCCTTGCTTAGGAAAAAGACTGAAAACCAAAGTTGAAAATGGTCAATGACCTCAAGATATACATAAGGTAAAAGCTGAAATCTCTTAAGTGGTTTGTCTACTGTTGCATACATTACTTTCATTATTACCATTTTAGGCTTTTTTAAATACTAAAAAGAAAAAAAAAACTTTTTAGTAATGTAACACTATTACTTGTCCTTCGGTCAATGCTACTGTCCCTCTGGTACTAATACCATTTAAAAATCAAGAGCAAAATCTCATCCCAAAGACTCTGAATCAAAGAGCCATCTTTCCTGAGCTGTTATGCACAACCACCTCTTTGCATGAAAGAGAAATTTCAACATATCATTTATGGCCTATATGTTGATTAATCTTGCTGTAATTCCATTAATTAAAAAGGATAAGTAAAACCCAAAATACTGATAATAAGCAATTACATGCTATTTAAATGAGCATTAAAGAGTTAATCATTCATGCTAGAAAACTTAATATAAATATTTCCTGCTGAGAAATAACAAGTGAGAGAAAAAAATCTCAAATGATAGTTGGTGAATGGTCCCATGTCACGGTATTCTAACTTACTACCATGGTTATTTCTTGATACTACTATACTAACAATGGTGACTAAAACCAATTTCATTTGTAACATCCCTACCCAAGAATATGAACATGTGAAAGACAATGAAATCATTTATGGTGAATAACATCTTAAACCTTTACAGTCCTCTAAAAATAAGGAAAATTTAGAACATTTACAACTGTTAATAACATATCTATGTTCAATGAGAAAAGTTCAATAAGAAAAATTAAGCATTTCTTAAGAAATTTCTTTAACTAGTTCTCACTTGAACATAGCTACTCATATTTAAATAGATTCATAGCAAGATTTTAAAATTATTAACTACAATTAGAGAAACTGCTTTACTCTATGTACTAACACACAAAAAAGAAAAGGGAAATAAAAGATGCGAATGTTCTCATACACAAAAGGCAAACATTTGGAAAGAGGTACTAATTTATAAATAATCTTAAAGTATTACTCCAGTAGTATGTTTCTTTAGAATATCAGTAATTTATATAAACAAATCCTGTTTTGTTTTTTTCTATCTGTAATTCACTGGGTTTAAGCTCTAGTTGTGTCTTTAAATTTCAAAAACTAGATTTGGTTCAATAAACACACTAAAGAATTTAAAGGAATAAAACATTTTATTTAAAAAATTCATATATGCTTCAAATGAAAACTCCTTTCCATTTATTAAGCACCCACAGAGTACCAGGCACTATACAAAATATAAAGRCTTATTTCTGCTCTTTCAGAGCTAAAATGATGGTTCTGCTGCACTCATTTATGCATAACACTGACACACCAACTCCACTGTCACAAAATGACTACATCTTCCAAGACTTGCTCAAGACATTCAGTTTCCAATCCAGAGCAGAAGCAGATCATGCAGTTAAAGCAGAAGTCAACTGATGAAGTCTGTCAGATGCTATATCTAATGTCCTCTCCCTGGACAAGAGAAAATTAAAGTGTTAACGGAACAGAAAAGAGATTTTTAATAAAAGTATTAACCAAATCTCAGATTTAAAATCAGCATTAGTCCTATAATTTTAGTAAATTTACCTTACCAAATGTAACTGTCATTCATACTATACCTTTCTTTGATTTTCAAATTAAAAATACAGCAAAATGTTAGAAATACAGGAAAAAATTTAAAAGAGGAAAAAAAAAGGATATAAAATGAAGCCAAAAATTAGTCTAAAGCAAAGAATACCACAATGTTCTATTTACTTGCTARCAGAGAGAAAATTAAAAGAAGAAAATGGCAGATAGTATCAATCCTAAAAATTCAGTCATTAAAGACATTTTTTTCTCATACTCACCTCGGAAACCACCACCCCCTCTTCCTCCTCTGAAGCCACCACCTCCTCTTCCACCTCTAAATCCACCTAAAAGGGGAAATTTTATTAAATAACTGTAGCTTCTCACTTGCTGATAAGCCAACAAAGATACAATTCCTATAATTAAAAAGAACAAATGCAGATTCACCTATTTTTTCTTACATAAATTTTTTTTYGAAGATAAAAATGGAGAAACTTAGCAGTTCTCCAATCAGGCAGGAGGGCAAACCCCAGATTACCAACTTTAGATAGGACTCCATCATTATGAATCAGAAAACTTATCAAAGTATGATTTAGCACTATTGCTAAATGTATGATTATCTCAACTTTTTAAATATTTTTTAACATTTTTTAAGTTGTTAATGGACTTTTATTTATTTATTTTTATGTGATGCTGAGAATTGAACTCAGTGCCTCACATATGCTAGGCAAGTGCTCTACCACTAAGCTACAACCCCAGTCCTTACCTTAGCTTTTGCTTATGTAAATTCTTTTAATTGAACTAAGGATAGTTTGATTAAAACCACTTATTCTAAAAACAAATGGGAGCAGGTATGGGTAGTTTTGCTCTGGAGATACTATAGAAAATATCATGTGGAAGTTTAACCAAGCTGCATATGTACCATAGGTGATGCTCGGGTGCTAATAAACCTTGAAATTTCAATAGATACTGTACAGCRTACTGTGTTGCTAAGCGATGATGTATGGCAGGTTAGGTATACTAAGTGGATTTTCAACTACATTGGAAATCTCCAATTTAGGCTGGGTTTATAGGGATGTAACCCCATTACAAGTCAAAGAGCACCAATATTACAAACAGTTCCCAGCATGACATCAAAGCCATGGGTTTTAATTCTGGGTCTGCCAACTGATTATGGCAAATGGACCTCTAAGAGACTCCATTTCCTCATACACAAAATCAGAACATCACCTACCTCAAAAATCTTTGCTAATTATTGAAAGAATGTACATGGATAGTAAGAATAAGACCAGCTCTCAGCATACAGTCAATATACAATKACAATTATCTAAGAAACTAAACTTCAGTTAAGATAATCTTATACAGTCATATAGTGCACAATGACATTTTGGTCAACAAAGTCCACGGATAAGACAGTGGTCCCATAAAATTACAATGGAGCTAGAAAATTCCTATTGCCCAGTGACACTGTAAACTGATGCATTATTCACATAATTATGGTGTTAATGATATAAACAAACCTACTGTGCTGCCAGCAATATAAAAGTATAGAACATACAACTTAGTATATCCTTGATAATGATTATTAACATCTGTTATTAGCTTATGTGTTTACTATTCTTTTTATTGTAATTTTATAGTATACTCACTCCTACTTATAAAAAAGCTTACTGTAAAACAATGCCATCTGACACCAGCATTAGCCCCATACATCTCATGTTTACCACCTCTCAMCTGTGTCAAGAAGCCACGTTGGGTGACTGACCTATACTATCTAGATTTGTGTGAGCACACTTCAATATTCACACAACAATGAAACTGCTTGATGAGGAATTTTTCAGAATTTATCTGCCATTAAGTAACAAATGACTGCACTTTACGAAACTCCCTAAGAAAACCAAGAGATAAAATAACCTAAGAGTTAAACATCGCTCAAAAGTGAACTGTTAAGGTTTTTTTCTTTTTAAGTAACTGAAACAAAGCATTATTA